TTTTTTTTTTTTTTTTTTTGCATCAGTATGAATGCTGCCTCCTTAAATTTCTGGTTCAAGTCACTTAGAAATTCTTATTTTTTTCTGACTGAAAATAAATGTGCTGCTGCTGTCATGGATGTAAAATAATGGCATGGGTTTTATAAAGTCCCCATTGTTGTTACCTTTCAGAGCTCTCTTTTTAATGACTAAAAGCAACTTCCAGCCTCCCAAACTAAAGGACAAAATGAAGTGGTAAGTACTGTGATAATATTACTGTGTTGTGTTGTGATTGTTGTGTTCGTTTCTAAAGTCTGTAATTTCATTTTAAAGGTCAAATAGTTTCCATCATTTTGTGAAAATGGCACTTACAAAGAATCCTAAAAAAAGACCTACAGCTGAAAAACTGTTACAGGTATAACTTTATATCCTTTTTCAAACTTCTAAAAATTTGATATCTATCCATTGTTGCCATATGAGGAGCACTTCTGTGAGGAGGTGCTGCATCAGTTCTCTGTGTGTGTATTTATGCTTCTTGTTTCTGTTTTTTTCAGCACTGATATGGTGCTGAGGTTTTAAAACATCATTTACTCTTATTTTATCCCATCTGCTATCTTTTAGTCTGCCTATCCCTATCTTTTGGGCCAAGGAAGATGTGATGTGTAAACTGCTGCCTGAAGTTTAGCTTTGCTAAATGCGCAAGGCTTGTTGGGGGGAGTGCACCCAGTATATTTTGAGCAGCCCTCTTTATATTAAAATGTTATTACCCAAATGCAGTTTATCTTCTTTTACTCTCTGCTTGTATCTTGTATTTTTAGCACCCTTTTGTAACCCAGCCATTAAACAGAACCCTTGCTATTGAACTGTTGGATAAAATGAATAATCCTGATCATTCCACCTACCATGATTTTGATGATGATGATCCTGAGGTAAGAATACTACATATATCAGTGCTTTTTCAGTTAGAGCCTTTGGTGCATCCTCTGCTAGACGCAGTGAATGCATAGGAAGCTTAAACCATTGCATATTTATGATCATGGTGGGGGGCCTTGGTACCCATTAGGGTTTGGTTCCAGGACCTGCCATTGATACCAAATTCCGTGGATGCTCAAGTCCGATTAAATACAGTGGCATAATAAAACAGTGTCCCTTATATAAAATGGCAAAATCAAGATTTACTTTTGAATTTTATAGTTTTTAAAAATATTTTGAAGCTGTTCATAGGTGAGCCATGTTCTAGAAGAGTTGGCCACACAGCCTGAAAAATCCACAAAAAACTATGGATGCCGGCCATGAAAGCCTACGACTTCACATTGTTCATAGTTGAATCTGTGGATAAAGAATCCATGGATCCAGAAGGCTGACAGTATTAATTTCTGTTCCCATAACTGCTCAAAGCATTTTACAAAATGTAAGCATACTGTAAGCACAATAAAAGTACAATCCTGCAGTCACTCTAAATTTACTGATGGTCCAAAACACACTGCAGAAATAATCCAGTTTGAGATGGCTTTAACTGCCCTGGCTCAATGCTAGGGAATTATCTGTAAGGCACTTTCAAGACCTCTTACTGCTGCTAGCCTTGATGATTTTTCTGATTGTCAGATCAATGTACCCTTTAACAGCATTAGAGATTATTAAAAAGTTTATAGCATGTGATGGATTCTTAGCTGCCATAGTCTTCTGTACCATTTAAAATACTCTTGAAGCTTACTTAAATTTAAGTATCCATAAAACTGTTTCAGGTAAAATATTTTTTGCTGCAGGGATTATTGAAAACATCTGATCTAACTTCCTGTGTAACACAACTTTTGTCAAGCGATCCACTTAGCCCAGTTTTAGCCCTTCTGTATTGCTAAAGAATAATGCCTGCAATGGTGTCCAATTATAATTGTTTTTTCCAGAGATTTACAGTGCACCTGAACTATAAATATACTACTCAGTATACAGACAGTGAACCCCTAATTGTCAAAAATAGATTGAATTTTACTCCTTCCCTATCTGTCTGTATCTGTTAATTCTCTGAATGATGCTGAGGATCATGTATGAGCTATCCCCCCTATATTGCCCAGAAATGGAGGCAGGAGTAACATCCTTGGAAACTTGCTGTTGACTGTCTACCCTCTTGACATTTTTTTCTCTCCTACCTGTATTATTAACTTAATGGCAACTTTGTACAAAGAGTGCTTGCTAAACAACACATTAACAATAAAAAATCAGTATTTGAAAAGATGATACTTCTGACAAAGGATGGTGCTTCTAAAATGCAAAAAAGAGTTCCTTAATGAAAAAAAAATTGCCCAAGGCCTTCATTAAATTAGAAGCTTGTCATTAATAAGTAGACAAGTTTTGACTCATGCCAAGGTATTGGGAAAGAGACTAGTCTGTTAAATGAACATGTCTCATTTGGTGAAGTACTTTTCAATATAAGATATACTTTGCACCAGAGTGGTTTTCCACTTGAAGTTAATTCAGCTCTTTGAGGATGCAGTCTTAATTTGGAATTTACTATGATCTGTTTCTTTTCCGAAGAGAGTTGGGCTTTGAAATTACTTAAACTAAAGCTCTGGTGGATTGCAGGACATTTTTACACTGCTGTGTATAATAGTGGTACATTTTGTTGTACCTCTGTCTCATTTCATAGCTGAGATTACAATCAGGGTAAATTCCTGGGCACCTCTAGCAGCATTTTACCAGCCTTGAGAAATTACTTTTTAAAAGTAAATTGTTACAGTTCCACCTGCTACTTCTGTGGTAGTACACGCTATTATAGTTACAGTAACATACAGTTACCGTATATGGCTACTTTCATAGTTATAACTTTTAACTTGCTTGTGTTTTCCCAGTTGTTTTGTATTGTATTGTATTGTTACTCTTTTTAAAAAATCTGAATGCTGCAAGCTGCTGTCCTCTGGTACACAACAATCTCTCTTCCTGTCTATTTTGTTGTTGCCTCAATGCCCACAGCAGAGCACAGGCCAGTGCTTGAACAATGTGATGTAGCTTCTCCACCAGTTAATGAAGCTACACCCCCAACTCCAAAAAAAGGGGCACTGTTAACATTGCAAAAGAGAGCCAAAATGGTGTGATGGTTTGAGTGTTGGATTGTGACTCTGGAGACCAGGGTTCAAACCCCTGCTCAGCCACTTGAGCAAGTCACACACTCTCAGCCTCAGAGGAAGGGAAAAGCAACCCTCTCCAAACAAATCTTGCCAAAAATTTCGGTGTCCAAATGATAGGTCCACCCAAGGGTATCCATCAATTGGAAACAAGTTGAAGGCACACAGCAACAACAACAACAAACATTGCAAAAGGTGTCCATTACAGTTTCTGTTACGAGTTACGTTAGTGAAGGTGTCCTCCGTTAAGTTACAATCATCATGTAGTTATGCCTTGGTTATTGAGTAAAGAAACTAATTTTAAATAACCAGTTATTTGTCAGTAGACATTTCTGAGCTCTGGTATATAATGTGCAAAGTATAAGAATCTTTGTAATATGTATATAGAACATCTGTAATTTTAAACTCTAACTTTGATATAATATTTTTTCTAGCCCCTTCTTGTGCTTCATAGAATTCACTCAACAAGTAGAAATGTGAGAGAAGAAAAAACACGCTCTGAAATAAACTGTAAGTACGTACATGCATTTTAAAAAAATAATTGTGCCTGTACTATCCAATGTGATCATTGTTATTCCATCCTAGATTAAGCATTTTGGCTGGGTTGCAAAATGACTCTAACAGGGAACTGTAGAAGGAAAGTATGAGTTGGAATTAATGAAATAGAAAAATGTGTGTAGTGCTACAATTGTCTTTTTGAAAAACCCACCCAGGCCACTTTTGAAACATAATCTGAAGGATATTCAGTAAGAAATAAATCCTTGAGTGATTTACTTCTTAGTTCTGTGCTGAATTTTTGAAAGGTCTAAGTCTGAGTTCTTCCACCACCTCTCCACCCGAAATATCTCAGCCAAAGAGAGAAAATACTAGCCAGTTCTGCTTCATGTGTTGGAACAAATGTGGGGCTGGCTAGACAAGCTTTTTCTTCTATATGTATGTATCTGCTGATGGAAGAGAGGAATATTTATGTTTTTACCCAGCCACAGTACCACAATCGGGTTAGTTGGCTGGCTTTAGTACTTAACAGAAGGAGAGTGGCAAAAAGAAAAGCAGGAAATAGATTAACTGTCTTTCATCTAGTTATTACTCTGGTAGTGGTGCATGCATAGTAAAGAGGTATTATGCACTACTTTTTTCTCCTTTGTTATTCATTGCAGATGAACGGGTGCCCCCAAGCCCCCTTCGCTGCTCTGCTTTCTACTGGGAACAAGCTAAGCTGTGGAGGAGGAGGATGGACAAATGCTTGTCCCTCAAGGCTCCTCCACCACTTGGCTTTCTCCCAAGGAGAGGGCAGGGCAGAAAAGGAAGAAGACAGAATTAATAGTAAAAATATTAATTATTATCAATTGATAATAAGTAATTATCAATAAATATCCTCCACTGCTTGGCCTTCTCCTGAGGAGGGCAAGGCAGAGGAGAAGGAGGATGGAATTAATTGTAATAGTAATTAATAATTAAAGGTTAGAATCGTTTATTCATCAATTGTACCTTTACCTAGAAAGTGAGACGCTAATAAAGCATACCTTCACAACTTGCTTGGCAGTAGGTAGGGACCAAAATTAAAATAGACTAAATTTCTTGGGGCCGCAGATAGGTTTTTAGTGGCTCACTTTCTAAGTAAAGGTATAATTAATGAGTAAACTATTCTAACCATTAATTAATTTGCCCGTCCTTTCCTCCACAGCTCAGCTTGTTCCCAGAAGAAAGCTGGGTGGCGGAGGAGGCTTGGGGGCACCTGTTTGCACATCCTCCTCCACAGGCTGGTTCTTTCCCAGGAAAAACCAGGTGGCAGAGGAGCCTTGAAGTCCTTATGGGCTTCCCAAAATCCTTTGGCAAGCTGCAAGTGGTCCGCAGGCCATATATTGTGTAGGCTTGTCATAAAAAAATCCTGAAGCAAACTGTGTTTCATGTCATTTTGACCACAACATTTTTCAGGAGAGTGATATGACTGTGTTGGCACATGGGAACGATACATAGATACCTTGTATTTCTATTTATATTGTTCACTCTTAAGTTTAAATCCTGCTCTGGTGAAAGGATACATTGTTTGCCATATATACTTGTATATAAGTTGACCTCATATTTGTTTACTTATTTATTTGAAGTATTTATACCCTGCTCTTCAGCCACAAAGGCTGTCAAAGCGGCTTACAAATTTTTAATTTGTTCCCTGCGCTCAGGCTTACAGTCTAAACAGACATAACACAAAAGGAGAAGGGAATAGTGGTGAGGAAGGGATCAAGTTCAGTGGTTCTTCTCTCCTTCTGGGGCCAGGGCCATGACAGATGGACTGGAGGGAGGGTTCTTCATCCTACTCTGGGCTAAGCCCAGTGGAGCTGGCCTGCCTCTCTTTCCCTCTGAGGCCGAATGATGGTGGATGGGCTGGAGGGAGGATTCTTCTTACTCTGGGCTAGGACCAATGGAGCTGGCCTGCCTCTCTCTCCCTCTGAGGCTGGACGATGGCAGATGGGCTGGAGGGAGGGCTCTTCTTCTTGTATAAGCCATAGGCAGATTATGGGACCAAAACTATGGATTCTGATGTGACCTGTGGATAAGTCAAGGGTAAAACTTAGGGTCATATAACAAAAGAGATACAGGATGAAGCAAAGGAAAATGATGCCAACAAACTTACAAGGTATAACTTGATTGTGTTCACCCTAAAGCAGGGGTAGACAACCTAAGGCTCGGGGGCCGGATGTGCCACCGCCACCCGCCATGATGATATTGATTATTGTTGTTATTACTT